TAACTCACCTCTCAAGAAGAACAGCTGGTAGAGCACGGCGCTTGTAACGCCAAGGTAGTGGGTTCGATCCCCGGGACCACCCATACACAAAAAATACAAAAAATAAAATAAAAATATGCACGCATGACTGTAAGTCGCTTTGGATAAAAGCGTCTGCTAAATGGCATATTATTATTATATTAACAATAAACACCAAGAGAGTGCATTTTGGAAAGTGTAATTTAGATTATTTTTTTTTACTATTCATTTAAACTCATTTTAACATTCTGTCATTAAGAGCACATGTTTAACTTTTTTTTTTTTTTTTATTCTAGCCTATCATCTATGTGTAACGTGGTTGACGTGTTATTCTTGACCCGCTCAGATTTCCACCATGTTTTTATTGAAAAAATTATTTAAAAAGTAATCACCATATTTAAACGAGAGTTCAGTTCCCGTAGTAGGGTTGACCTTGAAAATGAGGGACAAATGTAAATGAATCACTAATCTCGTGAAATTAATAATAATCTTCAGAAATGACATAGTCAAAGCAATAAAATAACTAGGGCTTTACAATGATGCTGAAAACTTGGGGACATTTTTGGGTTCAAATCTTCCTCAGAAAAGGGACACGTCAAAATGCAGATTTTTGTCTCTTTAGCAATACTTCATTCATATTAAAAATCAGATTTGTAGAATTTTCCTTGTGGTCTTTAAAGTACACTTCATTTAATATAACTGGCTTTTAAATGTCTGCACTATTTCTACTTACTAAAGAACGTAATTCATGAGAGTATAATATTAGCTGAGAGGACAATGAGAGGTGCTACATTACTCTTAGCACTATTCTCTACTGTTGTGACCATGCTACCTTTTTCAATAGAATGCAAGTCTTTCAGTTTAAAATGCAGACCAGCTTGCTGTCTCTTTGCAATCACAGCCTACTTGCAAACAGCATGCATTTAAGTAAAGGATTGGATTATGGGAACATCACGCCCATCTGAATTCAACCCACTGCTGAATTATGACATTATTGTTATGACATAACTGTTATGTAAATCAACAGTTAATGTAAGGTTGTGTAAGGCAGAAAATATAATGTAATAGACAGCAATTCCAAATAGTATTAGATTGTAATATCCTCTTACCTTCACACTCAACAAAAATAAGGTCACTGTTGATGTAGGTAAAAGTTCTGTAGACAACTGAATCTGATTGATTCATTTATACACCCCAATGTCCGATGTTGTCTCCAAGGACATCCTCCTGATCATTTACCATACCATGATAACTAATCACCTGCACTACTGTGCCATAGTTTGACTTCCAGCACTACTTCAGTGCAATAAGACAGGTCTCAACCAGCTCCAGTGAATCATCAACAGGGCTGCTTGTATCATGACCGGGCATTTAAGGAGGGAACACAAGAGATACTTCTGCAAAATACTGGAATCTAACCACTAACGGACAGGATCCGTTACAACACCCTAGTGACGTTTCTTTGGGACCATTATATACATCCTGACAACTGATAGACTGAATGTCTTGAGAACGTCCTAAAAACATATTTATCTGGTCCTCATTGACGTCCCAGGACCACAGAGGGAACTAGACAAAAGCCTCCTAGAGAACATTTCCTTGTGACCGTCACTTAACGTCCCGATGACAAGATCAAATAATGTGTTGTGTTAGTAGAAGACTACAAGAACGGCCCTGCCTGCCCCAGGGCACCATGTGGGAGGGCTGCTAGCAGGTATTGGAGGACTTCATGCTCAAGAGGACTTTGTTGTTTGCTATGAGTAAATATGGGGGTTTATTTATTTTTGTGTGAAACATTTGCTTTGGGTGGATCCTTGTTGCAACCTACCTGCTGGCCTGAACCGCTTAATGTGCCCCTTTATTTCTTTGGTTTGGATTGAATGCTTGTCTGATGATTTGATACGGAGATGAAGCATTCTCACTGAATTGTAAATAATTTTTCATGTGTTGAAACTTGATTACTGAAACGGTGACAACTGTAAACTATGCCCTATGAAAATAAATGTTAAAAATATAGTTTTTGCCTCTGCCTGCTCAACTCAGACCTTAGAGCCTGTCACTTTTCCACCCTGTGACATAATCATTGAGATAAATAACTAAAACATTATTCCAATTTATGGCGATATACAGACAGTATAATTGAATCATCAGGATATAGTGGTATGGAAGGGAATAACAGGAAACATCTACACATGTTCAACTTGTAACAGAGTAGTTGTTAACATTACTACACATATAATCTCAAGAGCATGTACAGGAGCAGGCAACATATGATATGTACAGTGCATTCGGAAAGTATTCAGACCCCTTGACTTTTTCCACATTTTGTTACATTACAGCCTTATTCTAAAATTGATTAAATCGGTTTTTTTCCCCTCATTAAGCTACACACAATACCTCACAATGACAAAGCAAAAACAGGTTTTTAAAAATTAAAAAAATGTAAAAGCTGAAATATACATTTACATAAGTATTCAGACCTTTTACTCAGTACTTTGTTGAAGCACTTTGGCAGCGATTACAGCCTTGAGTCTTCTTGGATATGACGCTACTAGCTTGGCACACCTGTATTTGGGGAGTGTCTCCCATTCTTCTCTGCAGATCCTCTCAAGTTCTGTCAGGTTGAATGGGGAGCGTCGCTGCATAGCTATTCTCAGGTCTCACCATAGGGATGGTGCCAGGTTTCCTCCAGATGTGACACTTGGCATTCAGGCCAAAGAGTTCAATCTTGGTTTCATCAGACCAGAGAATCTTGTTTCTCATGTTCTGAGAGTCCTTTAGGCGCCTTTTGGCAAACTCCAAGCGGGCTGTATGTGCCCTTACTGAGGAGTGGCTTCCGTCTGGCCACTCTACCATAAAGGCCTGATTGGTGGATGCTGCAGAGATGGTTGTCCTTCTGGAAGGTTCTCCCATCTCCACAGAGGAACTCTGGAGCTCTGTCAGAGTAACCATCAGGTTCTTGGTCATCTCCCTGACCAAGGCCCTTCTCCCCTGATTGCTCAGTTTGGCCGGGGTGCCAGCACTAGGAAGAGTCTTGGTGGTTCCAAACTTCTTCCATTTAAGAATGATGGAGGCTACTGTGGTCTTGGAGACCTTCAATGCCGCAGAAATGTTTTGGTACCCTTCCCCAGATCTGTGCCTCGACACAATCCTGTCTCGGCGCTCTACGGACAATTCCTTCGACCTCATGGCTTGGTTTTTGCTCTGACATGCACTGTCAACTGTGGGACCTTATATAGACAGGTGTGTGCCTTTCCAAATAATGTCCAATCAATTGAATTTCCCGCAGTTGGACTCCAATCAAGTTGTAGAAACATCTCAAGGATGATCAATGGAAACAGGATGCACCTGAGATCAATTTCAAGTTTCATAGCAAAGGGTCTGAATACTTATGTAAATAAGGTATTTCTGTTTTTAATTTTTTATAAATTTGCAAAAAATTCTAAAATGCTGTTTTCGCTTTGTCATCATGGGGTATTGTGTGTAGATTGATGAGGAACATTTTTTATTGAATATATTTTAGAATATAATATAATAATATATAATATAATATGCCATTTAGCAGACGCTTTTATCCAAAGCGACTTACAGTCATGCGCGCATGCATTTCTACGTATGGGTGGTCCCAGGGATCGAACCCACTACCCTGGCATTACAAGCACCATGCTCTACCAATTGAGCTACAGAGGACCACGAATAAGGCTGTAAGGTAACAAAATGTGGAAAAAGTCAAGGGGTCTGAATACTTTCCGTATGCACTGTATACTTATTCCACATCAGATATTCTACTGCAGTTGATGACTAAATTCAATTAGATAAAAGTAGACTAAAAGTGGTCTAATGATAAAATTACTTCAATGTTTCCTTACGGTCGTGGTACAATTGCAATCCACACTCTTCTACATGACCAAGTGAGTGTGTATACAGTATGTGTGTGCGTGCATGTGAGTGCATGCGTGCGTACATGCTTGTGTGCATTCGCAGGTGACTTAAGTAAATGTCTTGGTTTTGAGAATACAAAAAACATAGGGCCATAGACCTTAATATTCCTATCAAAACATCTTTGATAATTGCATTCTGGGTGAAACCATGAAACACTTCTGAAACGTAGGTGTTGTGTTACACTGTACAGTTTCAATAAAACAGATCTAAATGAATGTGCTCAATATAACTATATTTACAGTGTGAAATTAAAAAGCTGTCACGAATTCTGCCGAGACTGCTCCTCCTCCTTGCTCGGGCAGGCTTCGGCGTTCGTCGTCCCCGGAGTACTAGCTGCCACCGTTGTATGTTATCGATGTTTGTTTGGTTTTGTCTTGTTTGTACACCTGTTTCTATTTAGTGTTCATTATGTCCCCTATAAGTTTCTTGTTTTGTTTGTGGGTATTTGTGTGTAATTGTCCGCCTGTCTGGGGTTGTCAGTTTGGTTTTCCTTGGTCGGATATTATTGTTACGCATAGTTTGCGTGTTCGTTTTACCTCCTGTGTCGAGGTCTTTATTTTTGTATTGAGTGTTTATTTTCAGTCCAGTAAAGTCGTTTTGATTGAGCCTCTGTGTCCTGCGCCTTACTCCCACCACACATCGACATCAGCCGTTTGACAAAAGCTAAACTGTTAATGAATTTAAACATGGATTTTCCCTACACATACACTCTTAGAAAAGAAAGGTGCGATCTAGACACTTAAAGGGTTCTTCGGCTGTCCTCATAGGACAACCCTTTGAAGAATCCTTTTTGGTTCCATGAAGAACCCTTTTGGATTCCATGTAAAAACCATTCTAAAGAGGGTTCTACATCGAACCCAAAACGGTTCTAGCTTGAACTCAAAGGGGTTATCCTATGGGGACAGCCGAAGAACCCTTTTGGAGCCCTTTTTTCTAAGAGTGTAGAGAATATTACCTACAATATAAGTTATCTATCAAGCCCAGAAAACAGTGTATACTGTGCTTCAGATTATATTTTGGTAATAAATGCTCTGGATCTGTCAGTCCAGTGGTGACCCATAGACCTCCACCTCACACAGGATCAGGTGTTCACTTCTTCCTGCGATGACCACGTTGATGTGTCGACCCTCCATGCCGTTACACTGGAAGGTGCTGGAGAAGCCAGCTGGAATAGAAGAGATCACAGCACACATGCAGGAGGAAACCAAAACTGCTTTAGAACAGTAACTATGACACAAGCAGCTCCATGTTAACTCATTAGACTCATATGGTGAACCACTCAATAATGTTGACAATTCAACACATTTCCTGGTGTAGTCAGGCTACACCATAGAGATAGATAGAGGACTCAAGTGACCAAACGCCCATTTTAGCATATGGAGCGCCATTGAGGACTTTCACCATTTTGAAGTAGTCAACTGGGTGGGACTTCCTATGGGTTAAGGAAGGATCACATAATTCCAGGAGGGATCAGCCTATAAATTATACTTGTGAACAAATATTCCGTAACTGCAGGTGGCAGTAAATCGTCAATCTTGGCTTTATACCTGTTCAAACAACACATTCAAGGTTTGTTTACCAACTCATAGAAGTAGTAGAAAAATAAAATGGACTACTTCAAAATGGAGATGGCCTCAATGGCACTGCCCATGCTCTCACAGACACCATAATGGGACAGATACAATGTTGCGTCCTCTACAGTGCCTGGCAAAAGTATTTATCCCCCTTGCCATTTTTCCTATTTTGTTGCATTACAACCTGTAATTTAAATAGATTTTTATTTGGATTTCATGTAATGGACATACACAAAATAGTCCTAATTGGTGAAATGAAAAAAATTACTTGTTTCAAAAAAATCTAAAACATAAATAACGGAAAAGTGTATTCACCCACTTTGCTATGAAGCCCCTAAATAAGATCTGGTGCAACCAATTACCTTCAGAAGTCACATAATTAGTTAAATAAAGTCCACCTGTGTGCAATCTAAGTGTCACATGATCTCAGTATATATACACCTGTTCTGAAAGGCCCCAGAGTCTGCAACACCACTGAGCAAGGGGCACCACCAAGCAAGCGGCACCATGAAGACCAAGGAGCTCTCCAAACAGGTCAGGGACAAAGTTGTGAAGAAGTACAGATCAGGGTTGGGTTATAAAAAAATATCAGAAACTTTGAACATCCTACGGAGCACCATTAAATCCATTATTAAAAAATGGAAAGAATATGGCACCACAACAAACCTGCCAAGAGAGGGCCACCCACCAAAACTCACAGACCAGGCAAGGAGAGCATTAATCAGAGAGGCAACAAAGAGACCAAAGATAACCCTAAAGGAGCTGCAAAGCTCCACAGCGGAGATTGGAGTATCTGTCCATAGGACCACTTTAAGCCGTACACTCCACAGAGCTGGGCTTTACGGAAGAGTGGCCAGAAAAAAAGCCATTGCTTAAAGAAAAAAATAAGCAAACATGTTTGGTGTTCTCCAAAAGGCATGTGGGAGACTCCCCAAACATATGAAAGAAGGTACTCTGGTCAGATGAGACTAAAATTGAGCTTTTTGGTCATCAAGGAAAACGCTATGTCTGGCGCAAACCCAACACCTCTCATCACCCCGAGAACATCCCCACAGAGAAGCACGGTGGTGGCAGCATCATGCTGTGGGGATGTTTTTCATTGGCAGGGACTGGGAAACTGGTCAAAATCTTGAGGGAAACCTGTTTCAGTCTTCCAGAGATTTGAGACTGGGACGGAGGTTCACCTTCCAGTAGGACAATGACCCTAAGCATACTGCTAAAGCAACACTTGAGTGGTTTAAGGGGAAACATTTAAATGTCTTGGAATGGCCTAGTCAAAGCCCAGACCTCAATCCAATTGAGAATCTGTGGTATGACTTAAAGATTGCTTCACACCAGCAGAACCCATCCAACTTGAAGGAGCTGGAGCAGTTTTGCCTTGAAGAATGGGCAAAAATCCCAGTGGCTAGATGTGCCAAGCTTATAGAGACATACCCCAAGAGACTTGCAGCTGTAATTGCTGGGGGGGGGGGGGGGGGGGGGGTGAATAGTTATGCACGCTCAAGTTTTCAGTTTTTTTGTCTTATTTCTAGTTTTTTTCACAACAAAAAATATTTTGCATCTTCAAAGTGGTAGGCATGTTGTGTAAATCAAATGATACAAACCCCACAAAAATCCATTTTTATTCCAAGTTGTAAGGCAACAAAATAGGAAAAATGCCAAGGGAGGTGAATACTTTCGCAAGCCACTGTAACTATCTCTACGGTCTGCACACAGGTTTGCTATAAATATAGCATTGACTCTAACTCCCATAGTTCACCTGGGATTGTTGTTGCCATTGTTCTTGTTGTTTTCAGGGAGTCACCAATGCGGAACTCAGACCCATTCAGTCTACTGAAAGTCCCATCCATTCTGTTGGTGATGGTGATAGAGAACCCTTTGTGTGGGTTAAAGTTTACTTTGGTGTGGGTGCAGGAGGAGGAACCATCTTCCAAAATACCATTGTGATTCCCATCAATGGCATTATAAGCAAAACCAAACCCATACAATGATGACTGGGTGGGTTTTCCCTGTAAAACTACATTATTTCCTGTTAGCGCTTGCATTAGTATGCTGATGTTCATGTAATCCCCTTGTAATTGAAAGAGGATACACAGCTTCACATTTTACAGATTTGGCAGCAGACTTTAAACCAAGTTTTTTAACTACTGTTTAGGCAATGATACATTATTTATAGTGTATCGTATCATACAGTATGTATACCCAAGACATCACTTGAATCTTTGTCTGCATTAAATGAGTCAGTAGAAGACATGATTGCTCTGAGTTACTTACTAAAAGTATTTACTTCAATAATATTCAAATGGAATTAAACGTGATGAGGCTTATCCTCACCAGCTGGGGCGTGGTACCCATAAACCTCCACTTTACAGAGTGTTAGAAGACTGTTCTGGCCTGGTAGAACCACAGACAATAACGTCCTTCTACACTTGATGTTCACCTCAGAGTGAGAGATCTACCATAGGAATAACACTGGTGCACCAGTTCCTTGTTATTTGTGTGTGATAAGGATTGATTATATTACAGGTGTGTCATAAACAAAACAATCAACTCTTGGCTCCTTGTGAACTGATACCACTTTTAATGTTGGTAACTATAGGCATTTCTCTGTCAATCTAAAGAGCATCATATATCTAGAGATAACAACAAGAGGAAGCGTTTACTTGGAACACTGGCACCAGTAGGCATTCCTAGAAGAGCCAGCAAGAGGAAGAACATGGCCTGTCTCATCATCCTGGAGGGGAAACACAGAACAAGCAAATGTACAGATGCTGTGGCAGGAGATTCAGTGGTACAGGCACATTGCAGATTCAGTGGTAGAGGCACATTGCAGATTCAGTGGTACAGACACATTGCTCAGACACAGGGCTCACATTGCAGTAACATATAAACAGACCCATATTGCACCAGCATAAACATACATTTTTGTTTGATACCATTTATATTCTTTACAAAGCAGTGCTCCCTGTTTTATATTTTTATATGTTTGTATTGTAAAACAAAAAAGCAAATAGACTTTCCTAACATGTAAACAGCTTAGTTGTGTAAACAAAGATACCGCAATTTTTTCCCCATGGCAGGTTTGATTAAATATACAATTTAATTCACTGCTGAATGATTACATCGTTATTATGCCATAACTGTTATGTAAATTAAGGGTTGTAGTTAGGCAGAAAATACAATATAATATAAAGCAATTCCAAATAGTTGTGACGTTCTGGCTCCGGGACTCTTTGTTGTGAGCCAGGGTTGTCATTTTCTTTTGGGTGTATTTCTATGTGGGATCTGGTTGTTCATTTTCTATGTTTGGTTTTGTTGTTAATTGGGCATATGACTCCCAATCGGAGGTAACGAGTGTCAGCTGTCGGCTCGTTATCTCTGATTGGGAGCCATATTAATCTGTGTGGTTTCACCTTTGTTTGTGGGTTTTTGTTTCCGTGTGGCTGTTTGTTGTATTCAGCATTGAACTTCACTTTCGTCTATTTTGGTTTATTGTTTTCGATCGTGGTTTCTTTTATTAATAAAGTCTACGATGTTCGCTCAACACGCTGCGCTTTGGTCTCATCCTTTCGACGATCGTGACAGAAAAACCCACCACAAGAGGACCAAGCGGCGTAACAAGCGGCAACAGGACCTACCTACGCAGGATTTATGGGAGCCTCCTAAGGACTTTTGGACATGGGAGGAGATACGGGCTGGAAAGGGTCCTTGGGCACAACCGGAGGAGTACCACCGCCCTCGTGAAGAGCTGGAGGCAGCTGCAGCCGAGAGGAGGTGGTATGAGGAGGCAGCGCGGAGTCGAGGCTGGAAGCCCGTGGTTACTCCCCAAAAATTTCTTGGGGGGGGGCTAAAAGGGAGTGTGGCGAAGTCAGGTAGGAGACCTGCGCCTACTCCCTGGACTGACCGTGGAGAGCGGGAGTACGGGCAGACACCATGTTACGCAGTAGAGCGCATGGTGTCTCCTGTACGCAGGCATAGCCCGGTGCGGTACATTCCAGCTCCTCGTATCGGCCGGGCTAGATTGAGTGTTGAGCCGGATGTCATGAGGCCGGCCCCACGCAGCAGGCCACCAGTGCGTCTCCTCGGGCCGGCTTACATGGCACCAGCCCTACGTATGGTTTCCCCGGTTCGCCTACTTAGCCCGGTGCGGGTTATTCCTCCTTCCCGTACTGGTCGGGCGACGGGGAGCATACAACCAGGTAGGGTTGGGCAGGCTCAGTGCTCAAGGGAGCCAGTACGCCTGCACGGTCCGGTATTTCCGGCGCCGCCTCCCCGCTCCAGCCCAGTACCACCAGTGCCTACACCACGCACCGAGCCTCCTGTGTGTTCCCAGAGTCCTGTGCGTCCTGTTGCTGCTCCCCGCACTAGCCCTGAGATGCGTGTCCTCAGCCCGGGACCACCAGTTCCGGCACCACGCACTAGGACTTATGTGCGTCCCCAGGGTCCTGCATGCCCTGTTGCTGCTCCCCGCACTAGCCCTGAGATGCGTGTCCTCAGCCCGGGACCACCAGTTCCGGCACCACGCACTAGGACTTATGTGCGTCCCCAGGGTCCTGCATGCCCTGTTGCTTCTCCCCGCACTAGCCCTGAGATGCGTGTCCTCAGCCCGGTACCTCCAGTTCCGGCACCACGCATCAGGTCTACGGTGCGCCTCAGACGGCCAGAGTCTGCCGTCTGCCCAACGGCGCCTGAACTGCCCGTCTGCCCAACGGCGCTTGAACTGCCCGTCTGCCCAACGGCGCTTGAACTGCCCGTCTGCCCAACGGCGCCTGAACTGTCTGTCTGCCCAACGCCGTCTGAACTGCCCGTCTGCCCAACGCCGTCTGAACTGCCCGTCTGCCCAACGCCGTCTGAACTGCCCGTCTGCCCAACGCCGTCTGAACTGTCCGTCTGCCCAACGCCGTCTGAACTGCCCGTCTGTACTGAGCCTGCAAAGCCGCCCGTCTGCCATGAGCCTTCAGAGCCGTCCGCCAGACCGGAGCCGCTAGAGCCTTCCGCCAGACAGGATCAGCCAGAGCCTTCCGCCAGACAGGATCAGCCAGAGCCTTCCGCCAGACAGGAGCAGCCAGAGCCTTCCGTCAGACCGGATCAGCCAGAGCCTTCCGCCAGACAGGAGCAGCCAGAGCCTTCCGCCAGACGGGATCAGCCAGAGCCTTCCGCCAGCCATGAGTGGCCAGATCCGTCAGCCAGCCATGAGCCGTCCAGCCAGGATCCGCCAGAGCCGTCCAGCCAGGATCCGTCAGAGCCAGCCAGCCAGGATCCGCCATTTAGTCCAGTGCTGCCCCTTAGTCCAGTGCTGCCCCTTAGTCCAGTGCTGCCCCTTAGTCCGGTGCTGTCCCTTAGCCTGGTGCTGCCTCTTAGTCCGGTGCTGCCCATTAATCCAGGTGGGTTTAAGTGGAGGGTGGTCATTGGGAGGAGGTTAAGAAAGCGGGTAGGAACTATAGTGGGGTGGTGGTCAAGCCCGGAGCCGGAACCGCCTCCGGGGAGCAACACCCACCCAGCCCTCCCCTATTGTGGGGTTGTGAGGCGCGGTCGCAGTCCGCGCCTTTAGGGGGGGGTACTGTGACGTTCTGGCTCCGGGACTCTTTGTTGTGAGCCAGGGTTGTCATTTTCTTTTGGGTGTATTTCTATGTGGGATCTGGTTGTTCATTTTCTATGTTTGGTTTTGTTGTTAATTGGGCATATGACTCCCAATCGGAGGTAACGAGTGTCAGCTGTCGGCTCGTTATCTCTGATTGGGAGCCATATTTAATCTGTGTGGTTTCACCTTTGTTTGTGGGTTTTTGTTTCCGTGTGGCTGTTTGTTGTATTCAGCATTGAACTTCACTTTCGTCTATTTTGGTTTATTGTTTTCGATCGTGGTTTCTTTTATTAATAAAGTCTACGATGTTCGCTCAACACGCTGCGCTTTGGTCTCATCCTTTCGACGATCGTGACAATAGTATTAGATTGTCATATCCTCTTACCTTCACACTCAAAATAATAAAGTCACTGTTGATGTTGATGTAGGTAAAGGTTATGTAGACTAAGCTGAATCTGACAGAGGTATTTATACACCTGTCACCATGTCAATGAACTTGTGACCTTTGTTTTCTACATGTAAAACGTGCAGCACATGCTATTATCAGAATAGATAAGGCTGAGTCATCTTTGAGATAGATAACTAAAACGTGATTCAAATTTTATGGAGATATAAATGTAACCAGTGTGAAATGGCTAGTTAGCGGTGCACGCTAGTAGCGTTTCAATCGGTGATGTCACTCGCTCTGAGACCTTGAAGTAGTTGTTTCCCTTGCTCTGCAAGGGACGCGGCTTTTGTGGAGCGACGGGTAACGGTGCTTCGAGGGTGACTGTTGTCGATGTGTGCAGAGGGTCCCTGGTTCAAGCCCAGGTAGGGGCGAGGAGAGGGACGGAAGCAACACTGTTACATAAAGACAGTATAATTGAATGATCAGGATAGAGTGATATGGAAGGGAATAACAGGAAACATCACATGTTCAATGTGTAACAGAGTAGTTGTTAACATTGCTACACATGGGATCTTATGTGGTCCTCTGTAGCTCAGCTGGTAGAGCACGGCGCTTGTAACGCCAAGGTAGTGGGTTCGATCCCCGGGACCACCCATACACAAAAAGAAAATGTATGCACGCATGACTGTAAGTCGCTTTGGATAAAAGCGTCTGCTAAATGGCATATTATTTTTATAAGGGCATACAGGAACCAGGCAACATGTTATACACTCTATGTATTCTTATTCCACTTCAGATATTCTACTGCGATTGATTACTAAATTCAATAAGATTTGTAGTAGGTGTCAGACTTAAAGTGTCCAATTATGAAATTACTTCAATGTTTCCTTACATCTGCTGGCCTGGTGCAATTGCAATCCACCCTGTTACATGACCAAGTGTGTGTGTGTATATGTGCGTGTGTGCATGTGAGAACTAAAAAGACATAGTGTTATATATTAAGGTTGTACCTTTTGTGCCTCCTAGGAGTATACCACATCAGTCACCGGCTTCATCAATAAGTGCATCGATGACGTCGTCCCCACAGTGACTGTACGTACATATCCCAACAAGAAGCCATGGATTACAGGCAACATCCGCATTTAGCTAAAGGCTAGAGCTGCCGCTTTCAAGGAGCGGGACACTAATCCGGACACATCAAGACAGTCATGAAGAGGACATGACAATGCCTATTCCCCCTCAGGAGAATGACAATATTTGTCATGGGTCCTCAAATCCTCAAACAGTTTTACATCTGCACCATCGAGAGCATCCTGACTGGTTCCATCATCGCCTGGTATGGCAACTGCTCGGCATCCGACCGCAAGGGGCTACAGAGGGTAATGCATATGGCCCAGTACATAACTGGGGCCAAGCTTCCTGCCATCCAGGACCTCTATACCAGGCGGTGTCAGAGGAAGGCCCTAAAAATTGTCAAAGTCTCCAGCCACCCAAGTCATAGACTGTTCTCTCTTCTACCGCACTGCAGGTGGTACAGGAGAGCCAAGTCTAGGTCCATCTCCTAGGCACCGCATTGCCTCGGGGGTGACTTTATTCCCTGTTATGTCCAGAGACCAATGGAAGGGTACATTGAGGACTCTCTTGCTGCAGGGATTATGCGTCATCTGCCTCCCCCGCCGGCGCAGGGTTGTTCTTTGTGGAGAAGAAGGACAAGACCCTGCGTCCGTGTATCGACAACCGGGGTCTTAATGACATTACGGTTAAAAACTGTTACCCGCTACCACTCATCTCCTCGGCTTTCAAACCTCTCCAGGGGCGGTCATCTTCACCAAGTTGAACCTTCGGAACGCCTACCATCTGGTTCAGATACGGGAAGGAGACGAGTGGAAGACAGCCTTCAACATGGCTAGCGGGCACTACGAGTACCTGGTGATGCCATTCGGACTGACCAACACTCCCGCTGTGTTCCAGGCCCTGGTCAATGATGTGCTCCATGACATGTTGAATCGATTTGTGTTTGTCTACCTCGACGACATCGGGGGGGGGGAACATTCCTCAAGACTCACCTGTCATCCTGGATCCAGTCGGACCTTGGCTTTCGTCCGACAACGTTTTTGGTGTCCACCATGGTTCCTGACGTCTCCGCATTCGTTGCCACCTGCACTGTGTGTGTGCAAAACAAGACTCTGCGGCAAGCTCTGGCTGGCCTCCTTCATCCACTCCCTGTTCCTCACCGCCCCTGGTCCAATATATCCCTTCCTAAGTTGCCCTCAGCTAAGGAGACGGTCCAGCTCATGGTGCAGCACGTTTTCCGGATCCATAGTCTTCCGGTCGACATGGTCTCCGATCGCGGTCCTCAGTTCTCATCCCAGTTCTGGAAGGCGTTCTGCACCCTCATTGGGTCGTCGGCCAGCCTGTCCTCTGGTTTTCATCCCCAGTCTAACGGCCAGTCGGAGGGAGCCAATCAGGACCTTGAGACGACTCTTCGTTGCCTCGTCTTCACCAATCCCACCACCCGGAGCCAGCAACTCGTGTGGGTGGAATATGCCTGCAACACCCTTCCCTGTTCTGCTACTGGTCTCTCGCCTTTTGAGTGTTCCCTGGGATATCAACCCCCGCTCTTCCCGGAGCAAGAGGAAGAGGTCAGCATACCTTCTGTCCAGATGTTCGTCCGTCGCTGTCGCCGTACCCGGAAGAGAGCCCGGGCCATTCTTCTCAAGACCACCTCCAGATATCAACGACAGGCGGACCGCCACTGGACCCCTGCTCCCCGCTACCGTCTTGGGCAGAAGGTATGGCTTTCCACTCGTGATCTGCCCCTCCAGGTGGAGTCCCGCAAACTTTCCCCCCATTTTATCAGCCCTTTCCCCATCTCTAAGGTCCTTTGCCCCTCTGCGGTTCGCCTTCTGTTGCCCCGCACCTTCCGTATACAGTTGAAGTCTGAAGTTTACATACACTTAGGTCATTAAAACTTGTTTTTCAACCACTCCACAAATTTCTTGTTAACAAACTATAGTTTTGGCAAGTCGGTTAGGACATTTACTTTGTGCATGACACAATAAATTTTTCCAACAATTGTTTAAAGACAGATTATTTCACTTATAATTCACTGTATCACAATTCCAGTGGGTCAGAAGTTTACATACACTAAGTTGACTGTCCCTTTAAACAGCTTGGAAAATTCCAGAAAATGATGTCATGGCTTCAGAAGCTTCTGATAGGCTAATTGACATAATTTGAGTCAATTGGAGGTGTACCTGTGCATGTATTTCAAGGCCTACCTTCAAACTCAGTGCCTCTTTGCTTGACATCATGGGAATATCAAAAGAAATCAGCCAAGACCTCAGAAAATAAATTGTAGACCTCCACAAGTCTGGTTCATCCTTGGGAGCAATTTCCAAACGCCTGAAGGTACCACGTTCATCTGTACAAACAATAGTACGCAAGTATAAACACCATGGGACCACGCAGCCGTCATCAGGAAGGAGACGCGTTCTGTCTCCTAGAGATGAACGTACTTTGGTGCGAAAAGTGCAAATCAATCCCAGAACAACAGCAAAGGACCTTGTGAAGATGCTGGAGGAAACAGGCAAAATTATGTGGATATATTAAAGCAACATCTCAAGACATCAGTCAGGAAGTTAAAGCTTGGTCGCAAATGGGTCTTCCAAATGGACAATGACCCCAAGCATACTTCCAAAGTTGTGGCAAAATGGCTTAAGGACAACAAAGTCAAGGTATTGGAGTGGCCATCACAAAGCCCTGACCTCAATCCTATAGAAAATATGTGGGCAGAACTGAAAAAGCGTGTGCGAACAAGGAGGCCTACAAACCTGACTCACTCTGTCAGGAGGAATGGGCAAAAATTCACCCAATTTATTGTGGGAAGCTTGTTGAAGGCTACCCGAAACGTTTGACCAAAGTTAAACAATTTAAAGCCAATGCTACCAAATACTAATTGAGTGTATGTAAACTTCTGACCCACTGGGAATGTGATGAAAGAAATAAAACTTAAATAAATCATTCTCTCTACTATTATTCTGACATTTCACATTCTTAAAATAAAGTGGTGATCCTAACTGACCTAAGACAGGGAATTTTTACTATGATTAAATGTCAGGAATTGTGAAAAACTGAGTTTAAATGTATTTGGCTAAGGTGTATGTAAACTTCCGACTTCAACTGTACATCCCACTTTCCATGTATCTAGAATTAAACCCCTTTCTCACAGCCCTTTGTCTCCTGTTTTGCTTTTTCTAGTCTTCCCAGTTCTGACCTTTCTGCCTGACCCTGATCCCACCTGCCGTCCTGTACCTGCCTGACTCTGATTTGGATTACGACTCTTTGCCTGCCCTTGTACTGTAATAAACTCTGAGACTCGTACTATCCGCCTCCTGTGTCAGTACATCGGTACATAAAAAATCTCTTCCCAACTATTTTGCAATCTCTATGGCACAGCTGTCAATGTTTTGGTCCTTAAATGAAACTGGTATACTTTTTTGTTTATCACAGTTTTCTTTAACCAATTTTAGTATTTAATGCAGGGCCGACAGACAAGTTCCTTACTTTCTCCCCCTTCCACTTGCCTTTTCCATTTTTGCAGTAATGCTGCAATTAGTTGGTTGTAATTTTGGATAGAGAAGACATTTCCATATATTTTTGTTAGCTGCATGTGTGACATAACTCTACCAGTCCAAATTATGATATCATTTCTAAAATAGCAATATTTCATTTTCAAATAACCAAAAGTGAGAGGTTGTAATCTGAATAAAGGGAAACAGGCCATTCTTAAACACGGCTGAGCCATTCATACTAATCTGCTAGAGAACCAGTTTGGATTTAAGTATAGCTTTTGTCTGACTAAAGCCTTTAGTGAGCGGTCTAATGCTTCAATATTTAATAATTTCTGCCCTCTGAATTCGAATTAATTATATAAATAGGCCCGTCACATTTTTTCTGGTTTCCCATTCCATATTAAATAGAATATTTTTTGCTCATATAATTTAAAAAAACAAGTCGTTAGGAAGTGCCATACGCAAATAGGTCAACTGGTATATGGATAAAGAGTTAATCAGGGTGATTTTTCCACAAATGGACAGGTTTTTTCCTTTCCATGGTAGCAAGAGCTTATCTATTTTTGCTAACTTTCTATAAAAATGTATTGTAGTGAGAATGTATTTATTTCGGGATATTAATACCAAGTATGTCCACTTCACTGTCAGACCATTTTATTGGTAAACCACACGGTAATGTAAAAGTTGTATTTTTTAGTGATCCAATACGTAATATAGTACATTTATCATAATTTGGTTGTAATCCAGAGAGGTTAAAAAAAGTATCTAGATCCTCTATGAGACTATGGAGGGATACAAATTGTGGATGTAAAGGAAAACATGAATCATCTGCATACAATGACACCTTTGTTTTTAAGCCCTGGATTTCTAGCCCCTTGATATTATTGTTGGATCTGATTTTAATAGCTAATATTGCAATGGCCATAATAAATAGATATGCCGATAGTGGACAACCTTGTTTTACTCCTCTTGACAGTTTAATACCTTCTGAGAAGTAGCCATTATTTACTATTTTACACCTAGGGTTACTATACATAACTTTAACCCATTGTATTAGAGATTCTCCAATATTGAAATATTCCAGGCATTTACAGTGAGGGAAAAAAGTATTTGATCCCCTGCTGATTTTGTATGTTTGCCCACTGACAAAGACATGATCAGTCTATAGTTTTAATGGTAGGTTTATTTGAACAGTGAGAGACAGAATAACAACCAAAACAATCCAAACAAACGCATGTCAAAAATGTTATAAATTGATTTGCATTTTAATGAGGGAAATAAGTATTTGACCCCTCTGCAAAACATGACTTAGTACTTGGTGGCAAAACCCTTGTTGGCAATCACAGAGGTCAGGTGCTGTGAAAAAATGACATGGTGCTAGTCAAGGAACAATTGAGCAGCCAGGTCACCAGTGATATAGGTCAGTATTCTCAGCCAAAGCCCCACACATACAAACCAATGATGTACTGTATATTTACTTAGACTTTTGTTACTTTCTTTGCTTTGTACCTGTAACCCCCCCAGAAAACAGTGTATACTGTGCTCCAGATTACATTTTGGTAATAAATGCTCTGGATCTGTCAGTCCAGTGGTGACCCATAGACCTCCACCTCACACAGAATCAGGTATTCACTTCTTCCTGGGATGACCACATTGACATATCGTCCTTCCATGCCGTTACACTGGAAGGTGTTGGAGAAGCCCCCGGGTATAGAGGAGATCACAGCACACCTGCACAATCAAACACACTGATAAGTCACTGCAGCAAAGGTATCTATGACACCGTTTGCACACTGTCACATGTACCTCACACACTTTAGCAAATCTAGTCAGTTAGACTCTACACTCTTAGTAAAAAGGGTTCCAAAAGTTGTCCCCATAGGAGAACCCTTTGAAGAATCCGTTTTGGTTCCAGGTAGAACCCTTTTTGGTTCCAGGTATAACTATTTTAGGTTCTGTGTAGAACCCTCTGTGTATATAGTTTTACATGGAACTCAAAAGGGTTCTACCTGGAACCAAAAAGGATTCTTCAAAGGGTTCTCCTATGGGGACAGCCGAAGAACACTTTTGTTCACCTGGGATTGTTGTTGCCATTGTTGTTTTCCAGGGAATCTCCAATGCGAATCTCAGCTCCATCGAGTCTGCTGGGAACACTGACTGTGTTGGTGATGGTGATGGAGAACACTTTGTAGGTCTTCAGAAGGTCCACCCTCCACCAGGCGTTATAGTTGGCTTTGGTGTGGGTGCAGGTACCATCTTCATAAATACCATTTCGGTTCCCATCGATAGCATTGTTAGCAAACCCAAACCCATGTAATGATGACTGGGTGGCCTTTCCTGTCATCGCCACATTCATTCCTAGACAGAAATGTGAAGAAATCTATTTGTCCTGTGAAACACTTTATAATAACGGTACTAATTTATATGAAGGGGGTATACATAATGCATTCATAACACCTTTATGAAACCATTAATGACCCCTTCGTCAATGTTGCAGTATCATTCATAACAACCTTCATAACACATTTATTCAACATCATTCATAAAGAACCTTAAAAAATAATAAAATGTTTTCATTGCAAGATAATAATTTGATTGCAACCCCTAAAGCAGGTCTGATTGCAACCCCTAAAGCAGGTGTGTTAAACCCAATTCCTGGAGGGCAGAGTGTCTGCGGGTATTCGGGCCTTCTGTTATTAATCAATTAAGGTCATTGATTAGTTAGGAACTCCACTCACCTGGTTGTCTAGGTGTTAACTGGATACTAATTGAAAGGAAATAACAAAAACCATTAGACACATGCTCCAGGAGTTGATTTTGACACACCTGCCTTACTGTCATTGTGGCCTTGAGCAAGGCATATAAACCCCTTCACTGCTACCTGGGTAATTCTCTGAGGCTTACCCGGTGCTGTGTGAATAATGTGTCAGTGGGTTGGGTACTGTTACAGTGAAAATATGAATTTCTGTTGAACTGATAAATAAAGAGCTATAATCGAGGGGACTTTACAGTATTTTGAACATTTCTTATGAATTATGTTGAATAAAGCTGTTATGACTGGTTTCATGAAGGTGTTATGTACAGGTAACTGCCAAGATAATGGAAACACTTGAGTAAATTAGGGATACAAAGTACAGTGCCTTTAGAAAGTATCCACACCCCTTGACTTTTAACACATTTTGTTGTGTTACTACCTGAATTCAAAATGGATTCAATTCAGATTTGTTTGTCCCTGGCATACACACAATACCCCATAATGTCAAAGTGAAATTATGTTTTTCCCCAAAATTGACAAATTAATAAAAAATGAAAAGCTGAAATATCTTGAGCCAATAAGTATTCAACCCCTTTGTTATGGCAAGCCTAAATAAGTTCAGGAGTAAACATTTGCTTAACAAGTCACATGATAAGTCGCATGGACTCACTCTGTGTGCAATAATAGTGTTTGGGAGAGATGGAGACCTGTCAAAAAAAGGAATACATCCAAAACTGAGGCTTGAAAAAAATAATAAACAAATAAAGATGTTTATTAAAACATCATTGTGCCCAAAAAATCTTAGTGCAAGAAAGTGCATAAATGAAAGGTGAAAACAAAACAAGTGTTTCGGCCTCAGGCCATCATCAGTATAAGGAGAAATGAACCTAAATCCCCTATTGCATGTCATTTCTCAGAGGCCGGTCACCCCGTCTTTTCCATGTCCTTCTGTGCTATACAGCAGATACAACGTTCACATAGAGGTGGTCATCTTGAATTATGTCTTCTCCAGACAGAATGCAGCTGGATGTTTTATTTAAAAACTCTCCACCCATCTGGCATGAACGAAGAATTGTTATTGATGTGTTTTCTGTAACTGGTTTACTGTCTCTTGTTGGTGTTCGATACCCTCATCTAGTGGTGTCTCTAGCCTCCAACTCTTACAATCCTGTGTTATTTATTCTGAGGAAATGTTCACATGATATTTGTAAAAGTAATAATTGATGATATTTCTCTTTCCGCGTATATTTTATCTATAATGTAGATCATGCATTCTATTGTAATAGGTTCTGTTTTATAGATTTTCTGATACGTTTTCTTGATCATGTGACATATGCAATTATCCTTGAAGTAGAAGCCAGGTGTGTGTGTGCCGACGATTTACATTGATGATGGCCTGAGGCCTGAGGCGAAACTGTGGTTTTGTTTTTACCTTTTGTTTATGTACTTTCTTGAATTATGATTTTTTTTGGGCACCATGGTGTTCTAATAAACATATTTATTTTGCATTCAAGCCTCAGTTTTGGATTTATTTATTTTTTTCGACAGTGTGTATCTCCATCTCTTTCAGGATTCTTAAAAAAGCGCAGACGGGTTCTTATCATTAATCAAAAATAGTGTTTAACATGATTTTTGAATGACTACCTTATCTCTGCACCCCACACATACAATTATCTGTAAGGTCCCTCAGTCGAGCAGTGAATTTCAAACACAAATTCAACCACAAAGAACAGGGAGGTTTTTCAAAGACTCGCAAACAAGGGCACCTATTGGTAGATGGGTAAAAAACAAGCAGATATCCCTTTGAGCATGGTGAAGTTATTAATTATACTTTGGATGATGTATCAATACACCCAGTCACTACAAAGATACAGGCGTCCTTCCTAACTCAGTTGCCGGAGGGGAAGGAAACCGCTCAGGGATTTCACCATGAGGCCAATGGTGACTTTTAAATAGTTACGGAGTTGAATGGCTCTGATAGGAGAAAACTGAGGATGGATCAACAACATTGTAGTTACTCCACAATACTAACCTAATTGACAGAGTGAAAAGAAAGAAGCCTGTACAGAATACAAATATTCCAACACATGCATCCTGTTTGCATCACGGCACTAAAGTAATACTGCAAGAAATGTGGCAAAGTAATTAACTTTCTGTCCTGAATACAAAGTGTTATGTTTGGGGCAAAATCCAATACAACACATTACTGAATACCACTCTCCATATTTTCAAGCATAGTGGTGGCTGCATCATGTTATGGGTGTGCTTGTAATCGTTAACGACTGGGGAGTTTTTCGGGATAAAAAATAAATGGAATGGGGCTAAGCACAAGCAAAATCCTAGAGGAAAACCTGGTACATGTCTGCTTTCCACCAGACACTGGGAGATGAAATCACCTTTCAGCAGGGCAATAACCTAAAACACAAGACCAAATCTACACTGGAGTTGTTTACCAAGAAGACAGTGAAGGTTTCTGAGTGGCCGAGTTACAGTTTTAACTTAGATTTGCTTGAAAATCTATGGAAAGACTTGAAAATGGTTGTCTAGCAGTAATCAACATGTCACGATCGTCATTTGAAGAAACGGGCCAATGCGCAGCGTGGAATGCGAACATCTTTTATTTATATTTCACCACACGAACAAAAACAACAAAACGATACGTGAAGTCCTTGGGTACATACACAAACCAACACGGAACAAGATACCACACCACACAAATGCCAAACGACTACCTAAGTATGGTTCCCAATCAGAGACAACAAGCAACAGCTGATTCACGTTGCCTCTGATTGAGAACCACCCCGGCCAACATAGAAACACATAACATAGACTCTACACACCCTGGCTCAACATAACAGAGTCCCCAGAGCCAGGGCGTGACACAACAACCAATTTGACAGAGCTTGAAGAATTTTGAAAAGAATAATGGGCAAATATTGTTCAATCCAGGTGTGCAAAGACTCACATCTGTAATCGCTGCCAAAGGTGATTCTAACATGTATTGACTCAGGGGTGTGAATACTTATTGAAATGAGATATTTCTGTATTTAATTTTCACTATATGTGCCTACATTATAATACTTGTGCTAATAACATGTACAATTCCAAAACGACATGCATGAATTTAAGTAATAGCTCTTATCCTTACCAGTTGGGGCGAGATACCCATAAACCTCTACTTCACAGAGTGTCAGTTGTCTTCCTGTCCCTGGTAGAACCACAGTCACATAACGTCCTTCCACACCTGATGTCCACCTCAGAGTGAGAGATCTACCTGCTGCAAGGGAGGAGATCACCCCAGCTCTAGAAAGAGACAGAGAGAGAGAGAGAGAGAGAGAGGAGAGAGAGAGAGAGAGAGAGAGAGAGAGAGAGAGAGAGAGAGAGAGAGAGAGAGAATGAGCAATCGAAAGAACAGTCGAAAGAACAATCATACATAAAACATTCCTGAAAGTAATTGTGGTCTTACAGTGTGTTGTGAATGCCCTCATCCTGTAAGGAGTTCCCAATGCGAACTTCAGCACCGTTGATATTTGTATGGCAGCAGTCACCTCTGTTGGTGATGGTGACAGAGGTGACTATGTACGTATCAAGCAGGTCCACTCTCCACCAGGGATTAGTCTCAGAGTCAGTGAGAGCGCAGGACCCATGATGGAAATGTGAATTGCGGTTCCCATCAATGGCATTTGAGGGATGGCTATAACCTGACCATGGGTTCTCGATGAGGTTTGACTGAGTAGCTTTTCCACGCAAGGCAAGATTTTCTGCAGGAGGATAATATTTTTTGACTGCAGGAGAGCATTTTAATGGTGCACGTGAGACAATAACATTCTAATCTGCTCATTCCAATTTCTAGTTCCTTGTGTGTGGTTATTATCTATTCTATAACAGACGTGTCGTAAATGATAACGAGACACCAGTACTCTTGGCTACTTAGAAACTGATATCACTCTTAGTATTGATTATGAGAGGCTTTGCCCAGTCAATCTAGGGAGTCATATATCTAGAGATAACAACAAGAGAAAGTGTTTACTTGGAACACTGGCACCAGTAGGCGTTCCTAGAAGAGCCAGCAAGAGGAAGAACATGGCCTGTCTCATCTTCCTGGAGGGGAAACACAGAACAAACAAATGTACAGATGCTGTGGCAGGAGATTCAGTGGTACAGGCACATTGCAGATTCAGTGGTACAGACACATTGCTCAGACACAGGGCTCACATTGCAGTAACTTATAAACAGACCCATATTGCACCAGCTAAACATAAATTTTTGTTTGATACCATTTCTGTTCTTTACAAAGCAGTGCTCCCTGTTTTATCTTTTTGTTTGTATTGTAAAAAAATAAATAACAAACAGACTTTCCTCACAGGTAAGCAGCTTCTAGTTGTGTAAACAAAGATACAGTATACAATGCAGAAAAATGTCCATGTCAGGTTTCATTAAATCTACAATTCAAGTCACTGCTGAATGATTACATCGTTATTATGCCATAACTGTTATGTAAATTAGGGGTTGTAGTTAGGCAGAAAATATAATATAATATAAAGCAATTCCAAATAGTATTAGATTGTCATATCCTCTTACCTTCACACTCAAAATAACAAAGTCACTGTTGATGTTGATGTAGGTAAAGGTTATGTAGACTAAGCTGAATCTCACAGAGGTATTTATACACCAGTCACCAAGTCAATGACCTTGTGATCTTTATTGTTTTATACTGTACATGTAAAACTTGCGGCATATGCTATTATCAGAATAGATAAGGATGAGTAATCTTTGAGATAGATAACTAAAACATCATTCCAATTTATGGCGATATACAGACAGTATACTTGAATCATCAGGATATAGTGGTATGGAAGGGAATAACAGGAAACATCTACACATGTTCAACTTGTAACAGAGTAGTTATTAACATTACTACACATAGAATCTCAAGAGTATGTACAGGAGCAGGCAACATATTGTATGTATACTTATTCCACATCAGATATTTTACTGCAGTTGATGACTAAATTCCATTAGATAAAAGAAGACTATTATAAAATTACTTCAATGTTTCCATACGGTCCTGGTACAATTGCAATCAGCACTCTTCTGCATGACCAAGTGAGTGTGTATACAGTATGTGTGTGCGTGCATGTATGAGTGCATGCACAGCTAAATGTCTTGGTTTTGAGAATACAAAAAACATAGGGCCATAGAACTTAATATTACTAGCAAAACATCTTTGATAATTGCATTCTGGGTGAAACCATAAAATGCTTCTGAAACGTAGGTGTTGTGTTACACTTTATCTTCTCCAAATACATTAACATGCAATACAGTACAATGATAGGAACCATTACAGTATGTACAGTTTCAATAAAACATACACTACCAGTCAAAAGTTTGGACACACCTACTCATTCAAGGGTTTTTCTTTATTTTTACAATTTTTTACATTGCAGAATAATAGTGAAGAGATCAAAACTATGAAATAACACATATGGTTTTAAACAAATCAAAATATATTTTATATTTGAGATTCTTCAAATAGCCACCCTTTGCCTTGATGAAAGCTTTGCACACTCTTGGCATTCTCTCAACCAGCTTCATGAGGTAGTCACCTGGAATGCATTTCAATTAACAGGTGTGCCTTCTTAAAAGTTAATTTGTGGAATTTCTTTCCTTCTTAATGCGCTTGAGCCAATCAGTGGGGTGTGGTACCCATAAACCTCCACTTCACAGAGTGTTAGAAGTCGGTTCTGGCCTGGTAGAACAACGGTCACATAACGTCCTTCTACACCTGATGTCCACCTCAGAATGAGAGATCTACCTGCTGGAATAAAGGAAATCACCCTAGCCCTGAGGAGAAATAATGAGTTATTATGGGTAGTGGTCAACAACATAGCCATTTCCTTAGATACATTTGGGTAACTCAAAACTTATTCCATATTGCATCTCGCTGCTCTCAAAATGAATGAACAGATTTTTATACTGTTACTGACTTTGGGTTTACAATATTTATAATTTTTATATGTTTATACTGTTCTCAGCATCATTTGGCTTTTCTGAGATTGTCACGCCCTGACTCAGGGGACTCTTATATGTTGAGTCAGGGTGTGTATATTCTTTGTTGTAGGCTTTTTCTATGTTGGTGTTCTAGTATGTCTGGATCTATGTTGGCCGGTGTGGTTCCCAATCAGAGGCAGCTGTCGCTCGTTGTCTCTGATTGGGGTACAATACTTAGGCAGCCTATTGGCACTGTCTAGTTGTGGGATCTTGTTCCTTGTAAGGTATGTTGTGTGTGCTACCTTGGACTTCACGTTTTGTTTAGTTTGTTGTTTTGTCGTGGTGTTTATCAGTAAATAAACATGTACGTATATCACGCTGCGCCTTGGTCTGACCCGTCATTCAACGAACGTGACAGAAGATCCCACCAAACGAGGATCAAGCAGCGTGCCCAGGCGGAGTGGATGGCCATGTCACAGGGGGCCAAATTGTGGTCATGGGAGGAGATATTTGCGGGGAAAGGACCATGGGCTAAGTTAGATGCCCAGCAACGGCAACATGGAGGAGGCCGGTCGAGGAGGAAGCCCGAGAAGCAGCCCCAAGAAAAATGTTGGGGGGGCACACAGGGTGGTTGGCGGAGCCTAGGGTTAGAGCAGAGCCAACTCCCCGTACTCACGCGAAGAGGCGTATGACTGGGCAAGCTCCGTGTTATGCAGAGCTACGTACTGTGTCGCCAGTGCGCCGGCACAGTCCTGTACGTCCTGTGCTTGCACCAGATGGGCATCCAGCCAGGACGGGGTGTGCCGGCTCAACGCTCCTGGTCTCCAGTACGCCTCCTCGGTCCCGCATATCCTGCGGCAATTCTACGAACTGTATCGCTAGTGCGCGTGCACAGCCCAGTGCGTCCTGTGCCAGCACCCCGCACGTGTAGTGCGAAAGTGGGCAGCCAGCCAGGACGGGTTGTGCCAGCTCTCCACTCTAGACCTCCAGTCCGCCTTCACAGTCCGGCCCGGCCTGTTCCTGCTCCTCGCACCAAGCCAGTGGTGCGCGTAGCCAGACCAGCCCGGCCCGGCCTGTTCCTGCTCCTCGCACCAAGCCAGTGGTGCGCGTCGCCAGCCCAGCCCGGCCTGTTCCTTCTCCTCCCACCAATCCAGTGGTGCGCGTCGCCAGCCCGGCCCGGCCTGTTCCTTCTCCTCGCACCAAGCCAGTGGTGCGCGTCGCCAGCCCGGCCCGGCCTGTTCCTTCTCCTCGCACCAAGCCAGTGGTGCGCGTCGCCAGCCCGGCCCGGCCTGTTCCTTCTCCTCGCACCAAGCCAGTGGTGCGCGTCGCCAGCCCGGCCCGGCCTGTTCCTGCTCCTCGCACCAAGCCAGTGGTGCGCGTCGCCCGTCCGGCCCGGCCCGTTCCTGTCCCTCGCACCAAGCCAGTGGTGCGTGTTCCTAGTCCGGTTCGGCCCATACCTGCTCCTCGCACCAGACCAGTGGTGCGTTTGTCCAGTCCGGCACGGCCCGTGCCCGTTCCACCGGTGCCTGGTCCGGCACTGGTCAGCTGCTCCACTCCGGAGCCAGAGCAGTCCGCTCCACCGGTGCCTGATCCAGTGCCGGTCAGCTGTTCCACTACGGAGCCAGAGCAGTCCGCTCCACCGGTGCCTGATCCAGCTCCGGTCAGCTGCTCCACTCCGGAGCCAGAGCAGTCCGCTCCACCGGGGTCCAGTCCAGCTCCGGTCAGCGGCTCCACTCCGGAGCCAGAGCAGTCCGCTCCACCGGTGCCAAGTCCAGCTCCGGTCAGCGGCTCCAGTCCAGACCATGACGTCAGCCCCTCTCCAGGTTCGGGGTCTCCCACACCAGGGTCCAGACAGGGCCTGGCGTATCGTGGGAGGAAGGAGAGGGGAAGTAGCGCACCGAGGTCCAGACCAGACCAGGGGCGCAACAGGGAGGCGGAGAGTGAGAGGTCGTCACGCCCCGAGCCGGATCCGCCTCCGAGGCGGAATGCCCACCCGGCCCCTACCCTGTTATGTTTATGTTGTGCGGTCGGAGTCCGCACCTTTGGGGGGGGGGGGGGGTACTGTCACGCCCTGACTCAAGGGACTCTTATATGTTGAGTCAGGGTGTGTATATTCTTTGTTGTGCTTTTTCAATGTTGGTGTTCTAGTATGTGTGGATCTATAATTATTCTTTCACTTTGAAAAAGTGGAGTAGGTAGATCGGTAAAATAAAATAAAAAACATCCCTTTTTAGATGTAATTTTAAGGCAGCAAAATGTGAAGGCTGCAAGGGGTGTGTAGACTTTCACTAGCGACTGTATACACCAGTCAGAGTACCAATTCAAAGATAGTGTGACGTTTATTACTTAGTTTTTTCATGCAAAACACGCATGGTATTTTTCAGAATAGATAAGGTGCAATAACATTCAAGATAAATAACTAAAACGTGATTCCAGTTCATGGAGTTATACAGTACGTGATCAAATGTGTGGAATGATGTGTGATACAACAACAGGAAACATTTGCAGAAAAATAAGGGTGGACTGAGGGCAACAAGGAAACTGTTCTACTTAGTGTACTTACATTACATGCTCTCTTATACCATTTCACATATTTAAATGTAACCTTCACAGATGAGTTAGCTTACTTGTACACTTTGAAATGATATGAAATAGTGTTGATTCTTTGAAGTTAAGTGTTTAAACTTGTTTTAATTGTTAACTTAACTATTATTCAAGGTGAACTAGTGTTGATGTTGATTAATCACAGATCACAATCCTGCAATAAATAGGGGAAGGGAATCTGTCTCTAATTTGTCTGTTTCATATTCTCAAATGAACATTACCTTTTTGTTCAGTCATATGCTCTCCAATTATTTTTATTTGATTGTAACTATTTTTTCAGGATATCAGCCATGTGAACCCATTTTGCAGCTGATAATGGAATGCAACGCCAATGCAGCCATAGGCCTTCAGCAGAGGTTCCCAACTCCAGCCCTTGAGTGCCTCCAACAGCACCCATTTTTGTTGTGGCCCCTGACAAACATACCTGATTGAGGGCCTGATGACTACCTGACCAGTTGAATCAGGTGTGTTTGTCCAGGGCTACAATAAAACTGTACTGTTGGGGG